AACATCCAACACCCGGGGCAACCCTCCAAAGGGAAGGGCCTGGATGTGCGTGGGGGGGGTTTGTGCTGCTGCCCCTCGCCTGGCGCAGACGGACGTGCCCGGAGCGAAGGTTGAATAGTGCAAAGCGAGGGAGCCGTGGCCTCGGCCCCCCCGGCTCCTTGTGTGGCCGCCACGGGCAGCGGGTCCTCGTCACCCCCTGACCCTCGGCGCTGGCACTGACACGAAGCCACGTGGATCATTTAAAAATTCAGCAAGGCCACTGGATTTTAGGTCACTGGAGAGGGTAATTAAGGCAAAAGCAATGCAGGATTAAAAAAAATAAAACCTCTGCACTGTGAATCCCACTCCCCTTTCTGCTGGTGGAGCTGTTTCCAGGCAGGTGCCTTGCTGGGTTAATGAATTCCAGGCAGGAAAGTAGCAAGTCTAGAGGTGTGTGTCCAGGTACCATCCCAGCAGCGTCTCCCCGGCATGGGAAGGCAGCCCTCCTCCCCAAACCTGGCTCCAGTTCCATCGGGATTTGGTCTTACAGAACCAGACTCCCTGAGCCGGGTATCTTTGGTTCCTCCGGTGGAGGCTGCATAATATTGCAAAAAAATGACATAAAAAAGAAACACAGAAGGGAATAGTGGAGAGGGTTTAAGAAATCAAATGTAGGAAAGGGTGTAAGTACCTATAGATGCTTTTTGTTTGGATTAATTCGGAAGCACTTTCCTGATATTCTGGCCTGTTTTGTAAGATGGATACAGGTCACAGGCTATTTTAAGCCTCTATTGCATGTGGTAGTAAAACCCTCTCCTGAATTTGGGTTTGGTAAACCTCTAGCTTTAGAGGTCTTTTTAGGCGCATGACCAAGTCACAGCTGAGCATCTCTAAATTAATCCCCTTGGAAAGTCCAAGGTGTGGGGAGGGGGATCAAAGCCCCAGCCCCTCTTTCCTTCACTCGCTCTCTCCGGGCTCGCTGTGCCGAGCAGGGGAGGGGGGGATGCTAATTCCCCGGCACGCAGAGGATGAAACCGGAACGATGCTTGGTGAAATCCGGTTGGGATTGGTTAATCTTGGTTTCCACGGAGACGGTGCATTTCCGCCCGTGCAGGCTGCACTGGACCGGGTTGGTGACGCTGACTTGCAGAGCCCGTTTCTCACTGCCAAGGCAAAAGGGAAAAAGAAAAGAGTCGTCAGGAGGGAGGAGTGGGAAGTGGCCACCGTGGCTCAGAGCTCGGCACGAGGCTGGGGGGGTGGTTTTGGGTCAGGATCCTGCGCCAAGGCGAGCACACCACGTTAGGCCAAACCTCGGCTCTTAAGCTCAGCTTTCGGGCTCGGCTGAGCCCTGCTCTGCCCGTGAGAGGCTCCCACGCAGGCAGGCGGTGCACCCAGGGGCTTGGGCGTTGGGCTCGGTGCCAACGGGGGGTGTCGCTTCACGGGCAAAGCAAAGGCCACGTTGCAAAAGGCCCAGGGGGGGTCTGCAGCCAGCTCGGCCACCCGCTCGCCAAACGCCCTGGTGAGCCATCATTCCTATTGCTGTAACTAGTGATGATGACATCCCCCGTTCTGAGCTCAGAGATTAAAAGCACAGCGTGAAATAGCAAAAAGAACCCCAGCCCGGGTGTTGTTTTCTTAAATGCCCTCTCCAGGCAGACAGACAGATCGACCCACCAGGCAGTGCCCTGAGCGGGGGTACAGGCACTGGGACAAAACTCTGCCACTGCAAATCGTTCCCCAGCTTTTTAACCCTTTAGCTTTGGTGTTAAAAATGACTCTCAAGTGAAATCAGGAGTTTCTGCCACCCAAGTCAGTTTTTCCTCAGCTGTTTGGGTCCGTGCCAGTGGGGGACATCAGGACAGCAAGGCCATGTTCATCTCTGCGCCGGCCCAGACAGGGTCAGGGATGGCCAGCAAGGATGTTCCCCTTTGCTAAAGCCATAAAGGTCACTATTTAATATCACAAATAACTTCCCCTTGTACTGTAAGCAGAGAAATGCTCGGCTGCTCCCTGGGGCTGGGGATGGAGACGAGGTGCAGCCAAGGTGACACACGAGCTCCAGCCGTGAGCCCCGTGGACCAGGTTCGTGAGGCAGGAGAGTGAATGAGCCGGAGAAATGCCTCCAGCAGATCCACCCCGCAGCCTGGGGAGGCAGGAAGACATCTCCCCGGACTTGGCCTTTGGAAAATCAGTCCCGTGACCTCACCCGCACTTCAAATTCCTGAATTTCCAGCATTTCTTAGTATAATATTGAGTGGTTTAAAGACTCAGTGGCATCAACCCCACCTCCTCTCTCGATGCTCTAAATACACCGAGGAGGATGTGCTGGGTTTCTCTTCTCCTGACTCAGCTTCCAGACCCGAGGTCTTGCCTTGCTTGAACCGTTACAGTATTTTCATTGACACAGTGTAAGTCCTTCATGCAGCACAGGTTTAGTTTTTACTTCATTAACACAGACTGTTCAGACAAGTCACATCCCACAAGCCACATTTTTATGCAGCTTCCAAATAATTAAGATGTTCACTGGTTCCATAAGAATGAATGACTGACTGGTTGGAGAGGTACCAGCATGGCAGCAGCACACAAAGCCCTCACGTTGTCCAAGGTATTTAATACTTATTTATTCTTGCCTGAGTGAGTTGAGGCTAAAATCCCTGCTTAGTTTGCTATTTTTCCTGTGACTGAGCAGAACAAGCTGCATACGCAGAGGAGCCTCTTGGAGATTCCTGCCATCATGTGTTTGGAGAGCAGGTTTAGCATCAAGTGTCTGCAGCAAGGATAAGGGCTAATGACGTTCCTTCTCTCCCACAGCCCCCATCAAATTATAGATAAGAAGATAGAGGGTCTGTCACTGTTAATAGTCAAACTCTGTTGACCCTTTTGCACAGCAATAAGTAGCCCAAACCAGGGGAGAAGAATGTTATTAACCTGAATCTTGACCACAAGCAGGAGTCAGACCTGGAAATCAGAAGGTCCGTGATGTATTTTGAGTCCTGTGGCTGTGGGACCTTCAGCAAGAAGTGGAATCTCTCTAGGTCCCAGCTCCTGCTGGAATGAGGAGAATCAACTAAGCACACGTCTACGTGAAGCTAACTCCTGATCTTGTGTGCCTTTTCTTCATATGACAAGAGGTTTCAGCTTTAAAACCCTTTTCGGGGGGTGCAGGACAGCTCCTGAATGGTATCCAAAGAGCAATCCACAGAGGGATTTGCAAATCCACCCAGGGATAACAAACCCCATCCTTGGTTTTCCCCACTAGGCAACTCGATGCTGAACCCTGCCACCAGCTCCACAAGCAGCTTGATGTGCCTCTTGGATGCTGTTCCTCTGCTTGGTCAACGGCCAGCGAGGAAGAGGTTGGAGGAAACGTCACTTTGGTTTCCAGTTCATCAGTCACATCAGCATCACACTTGTTGGTGCAGCAGCCAAAAGGGGAGATGACAGCTGCTGGCTGCCCTGGAGTAAGAAGGTTTATTTATTGACTGAAAGGCAGAAAACAGCTGCCTGCATCAGCCAATAAACCAGACTCAAAGACCTTCCAAATCTCACTGCTACAATGAGATTTTACCAAGTAGCACAGCTGGGGAGACGCTTCCCCAAGACAAGGGCAACACACAGTGAAAACACCCTTTGGGGATCACTGGCGATCTGCAAGACCCCAAGTCAGACACCGTTGGCAGCAAAGGCAGAGCCAAGTCCCACTTGCACTTAAACTTGGGCTAAACTCTGAATTTTCACTGCATAATCCTGTCCCACCATGGTACTTTGCTCTTCCACCTCTCCATCTCAGTAAGACGATTCAGTCAGGTCATTAAGGTGAAATTAAGATGGAAGAAAGTTTGCACTATTAAATTTCAAGCTTGGAAACACACATCTATTCACTATCCATGCTTTAATTCCTTAAGCATTTCAGTGGGTTTTAGCTGTTTAAGGAACATTTACTAATTACTTACGAATAATCTTCTGGCCTTCTGACTATTTTAAAAGACCAACTGGTTTTCATATTAGAGCTGGAAGAGCTTGTAATGTAGACTTAAGTGCAGAACAGAATGTTGTTACGGCTGTTCTGCGGCTGAAGACACAGTCACAGTACAGAGAGCTAAGTGACATGCCCAAGGTCACAAGAAAGCAGCATCAGAATTAAAAGCCAGATTCTCTAACTTTCAAGATCTTTTGATCGCAGATGAGCAGCCCGCCATGGCAGTGCAAATGCCAGTCTCATCCTTCATCCTGTACATCTACTTGATTCAAGGATCCTGTGTTGGTTCAGACCCGGGTACTTATAAAGGGCAGTGTCCACGCTCATCCCTCTGATCAACAGGCAACGACTACCTTCACATTATGTCCTCAAAAGACAGTTGGAAAGCTTTCGCTGCCCGGAGAAGACCCCTGCCTTAGACCTTTTGCTTTCACTCCCCTCGTCCTTACTGCACCCCCCACCCCATGGCGGGAGAGCCCTCCCCTGCCATCCGACCGTGGGAGCCTCCGGAGCTGTCACTAGACTGGCCCTTACTAAAGGCTGCGCAGGAGAATTTGTTCCAGACATCAGCCTCTATTTTAGTAAGTCCTTAACAGGCTTCTGAGACACTTCTGTTGTCCCTCTTGTACAGACACACGTTTAAGAGACCATCTACAAGACATCAGAGCTCAGGCAGCCAAGCAGAGCTCTGCTGGAGACCAGCCCCGTCTGACGGCAGCTCTGGCTCTGCACCAAGCCCCGACGTAACCTGCACACCGATGGAAGTCAAGTCAATTAGGACAAAATGATGGATGCTCCTGCCAAGCGTCTTCTGGGAAATAAAATTACTTATTTTTAACAACGATTCCATTAGAAGAGACAGCGAGATGAAAGTGCTGGCTGAGACTCCGCCAGGGAAGAAATGCCAGTCCCCAGCATCCAGGCGTGAAACAGCCTGTGAAACGTAAAGGGCAAAAAAGAGCTGTCCTGGGAAAACCAGGACTAACTCCCGTGCTGCTCAGGCCTGCCAGGGAACCACGTGATCATTGCTGTATATAATAAGCCACATGATCATTGCTGTATAAAATAAACACTAAGGTGTTAGTGTTTTCTTAAAGCACAGGGGGTTTATATATCTGCAAACAATGTTTCTGGGTGGGAACAGCCTCTCTCGACATCCTGGTGGCACAAGCCATGGCCACTGCTCTCCGCTGGCTGTGTGGGCTGGGGCTTCTCTTTGCTCTTTGGATTTCACAGCTCAGTGAACCCCGCAGGACTGGGTGACTTCTCTTCCTTCATCTGCTCCAAACCATCACAGCACGCACACTGCCTCTACCAGCTCACTGTGCTCATCTACTGACTGGTGCCCATTAGAGGAGTTAATGGCAAATAGTGGAGGGGCTGTGCTGGGTGTGAGCGTGCGTGCGGAGCTCCGCCAACATTGCCTGAACGGCGTCTGCGTGTGCGGGAGAACCACGTCCCGGAGCCAGAGCATCGTTAGAAAGGAAGCACGAGCTGATCAGACACCCGGGTAAATGCTGGCAAAAGGGAAACCAGCGGAGAAGAGATGACTCCAAGTGGAAGTAGACTACTGGCCCATGAGATATTAAGAGTTTTGACTGAGCATTTAATCTAGGACCTCAGGGAAAACACAAGCCAAGTGGCGCATAAATGGCCACAGACATCTGTCAGCGCTGTTGATAACACAAAAGCTCTATGTCACCAATAAGTGGTGGGAAGCAAAACAGTGAAGGGAAGGAGTGGAGGAAGATTAGAGGGAGTTTCTGCGAAGACAGCGGTGTAGGGCTAGAAAGTTAAATAAATGTATTGTTAACTAAATGTTAAACATACAAGATGCTTAAGAGCAAATACAGGTGACCTGGAATGCCTTGCAAGGAGCTGTAACGGGCATGAAAACGCAGCAAAGCACTCGTCAATGGGATCACAGAATCACTCAGGTTGGAAAAGCCCCTCGGTATCATCGAGTCCAACCCTCAGCCCGACTCTACAAAGTTCTCCCCTACCCCACATCCCCCACAGCTCATCCAAACGGTCCTTAAACGCATCCTGGGGACTCCCCCCTCCCTGGGCAGCCTGTTCCACTCTGACCACTCTTTCTAGGAAACATTTTCTCCTCCTGCCCAGCCTGACCCTCCCCTGTTGCAGTTTTCAGCCGTTCCCTCTTGTCCTGTCCCTGATCCCCTG